ACGTGTGAGGGGTGTGCCAGAATGGGGGGTGGAACCGCATGCGGGCGCAGCCACTGGGGCCTTCGGTGGAGCTCTCCCTAGGGCCACGAAACGTGTGAGGGGTGTGCCACAATGGGGGGTGGAACCGCATGCGGGCGCAACCACTGGGGCATCGGGTGGAGTTCCCTATGGGGCCACGAAACGTGTGAGGGGTGTCCAGAATGGGGAGTGAAACCGCATGCGGGCGCAGCCACTGGGGCCTTCGGTGGAGCTCCCTATGGGGCCACGAAACGTGTGAGGGGTGTGCCAGAATCCGCCGACCCTGTCGGCGTGTGTGAGGGGCTTTTCCGTTCGAGCCGTCATCTCCGTCATTCTTTGTACTCGTCGTCTCTGTCCTTCCCTTTCCCTGGGAGACCTCTTCCCCTGGGCTCCAGCCAAGCCGACCTTGAGCAACCTCGTAATTGAGTCGAAGGGAAGCCCCTTCCCTTTGATCCCTCCCCCGCCGGGAGGGGGGGGGGGGTAGCGACCCCCCCCCCCCGGGTCAGATACGACGCCCCCCCCTGGGACTCCTCTTCCCCTGGGCTCCAGCCAAGCCGACCTTGAGCAACCTCGTAATTGAGTCGAAGGGAAGCCCCTTCCCTTTGATCCCTCCCCCGCCGGGAGGGGGGGGGGGTAGCGACCCCCCCCCCGGGTCAGATACGACGCCCCCCCCTGGGACTCCTCTTCCCCTGGGCTCCAGCCAAGCCGACCTTGAGCAACCTCGTAATTGAGTCGAAGGGAAGCCCCTTCCCTTTGATCCCTCCCCCGCCGGGAGGGGGGGGGGGTGCGACCCCCCCCCCGGGTCAGATACGACGCCCCCCCCTGGGACTCCTCTTCCCCTGGGCTCCAGCCAAGCCGACCTTGAGCAACCTCGTAATTGAGTCGAAGGGAAGCCCCTTCCCTTTGATCCCTCCCCCGCCGGAGGGGAGGGGGGTAGCGACCCCCCCCCCGGGTCAGATACGACGCCCCCCCCTGGGACTCCTCTTCCCCTGGGCTCCAGCCAAGCCGACCTTGAGCAACCTCGTAATTGAGTCGAAGGGAAGCCCCTTCCCTTTCATTCCTCCCCCGCCGGGAGGGGGGGGGGGGTAGCGGGGGGGGTAGCGACCCCCCCCCCGAGTCAGATACGACGCCCCCCCCCCGTACCGACCTTGAGCAACGTCGTCATTGAGTCGAAGGGAAGCCCCTTCCCTTTCCCTTCCCCGACGGGGGGGGGAGAGGAGGTCCCGGGGGGGGTCCCGGGGGAGTCCCGGGGAAGTCCCGGGTCAGATACGACACCTCCCTCCCCCACCTTCTCGTCCTTCTCCCCGTTCCCCCAAACCATCCCACAGCCCGTGCCTCTTGCTGCGCATTGCGAACAGGGTCGGCGGCACCGGCCGTCAGGCCTTCGCAATGGGGGTGGAACCGCATGCGGGCGCAGCCACTGGGGCCTTCAGTGGGGCTCCCTATGGGGCCACGAAACGTGTGAGGGGTGTGCCAGAATGGGGGGTGGAACCGCATGCGGGCGCAGCCACTGGGGCCTACGGTGGAGCTCCCTATGGGGCCACGAAGCGTGTGAGGGGTGTGCCAGAATGGGGGGTGGAACCGCATGCGGGCGCAGCCACTGGGACCTTCGGTGGAGCTCCCTATGGGGCCACGAAGCGTGTGAGGGGTGCCACGAAACGTGTGAGGGGTGTGCCAAAATGGGGGGTGAAACCGCATGCGGGCGCAGCCACTGGGGCCTTCGGTGGAGCTCCCTATGGGGCCACGAAGCGTGTGAAGGGTGTACCAGAATGGGTGTGGGAGGGGGAGGAGGGGGGAGGAAGGGGAGGACGAGGAAGGAGGAGGAGGAACGCGGGGCAACGTCTCTTCAAAACGAGGACCCAACACCACAGAATGGTTGGGAAAAAATCCTCCTCCTCGTCCTCCTCCTCCTCCTCCTCCTCCTCCTTTTCCTTCTCCCCTTCGCCCCCCCCCCCCCCCCCCCACGCGGGCCCAGAGATGGTCCCAACACGCCGTCCAGGCCGACCCCCTCTCGTTGTTTGACGATGCGCGTCTCTTCCTCTCTCCCCCCGTCCGCTCTCATGGGCATCGTTTCTGGATGGGCTGGTGGGGGTACTTTTTTGTTGCCAGCCGCAGGCGAGCGCGCCGACGGCGTGTCAGGGTCCGAGCGGGCGGCGCGAGGTCCTGATTTACCTATCAAAGCAGGCCTACCGCCGCAACGCAGAACGGGACCAGGAGGTAGCCGAAGAGGGGGCAGAGCTGCAAAACTGCCAGGGGCTGCGAACGTGCACCGGGCTGCAAGCGCTGCTGACTGCCAGGGGAACTGACTGCCAGGGTCTGCAAGCTGCCAGAGGTGAATTGAACTGCAAAGCGTGGACAACCGCTGCAACTGGAGAAGCTGCCTGGGTGGCCTGAACCGTGCAGGCCGAAACCACCAAGTGTGCGAATTGAGTGCGCGTGAATTGGCCAGCCGAAACTGAAACGCAGCCCAAATGGCGCGCAGTAGCACCAGGGTGACGCAAATCGGAGTATGGCCCAAGATGCCCGCCACGGTCTGGCAGGTGCAGGTGGTGGCGCCAGCGAAGTCGCACACCAAAGCCCCGTGGAAAGGGGGGCGCAGTCCGCAATCGTCCGGCCACGGATGGCGATTGATGCGAACAGGGAACAGGCTGGCGATGGAGAAGAGCGACCCCAGACGCATCTGGGCCGTCGGCCAGCCAGAGCAAGATGACCCCCGTACGTGCCAACGACGTGGGCGGCGCGACCAGTAGCGCACACCGACAAGCGGATGCCAGCGCCGCAGTGCTGGTGGGGATACTTTTTTTGGTCGCGGGCAGACGCGTGAAGCTGTCGCCGATAGGGGGGTCCGGGGCGCGGGCCAGCCTAATTAGCTACTGAGCGACGCGCAAAACGGCCAGGCCAGCGCTCAGAAGCGGCGACTGAGGGGCAGCTGCTGGGGGAACTGGCTGGGAGGTCTGCAACGCCCAGGGAAGCTGATGCAACGTGCAAGTCTAAGGCTGACAGTCGCCAAAGATGGAATTAGGACCTGCACGCCAGGAACGCCTGATCGGCTCTGTACCTGCGACCACGCATCACACTGGCGAGGGCGCAGCCACTGCCAGGCAACCCAGAAAGCGGCACGCCACCAAGAACGGAGAGCTGGAAGCCACGCATTCGAGCTCAGGTACCGTGGACCGAGTGACCAGGTACAGACTGACCATGTCGCCACAGGGCGCCAAGGGCCAGAGCCGCGTCTGCGGCGCGGACCATGCCAAGTGCGGGGACAGGGCGCCGGGGAAGCACGGTGTCTGCTGGAAGGCTGCACCACTCCGCGACACATCTCGTAAGCCCCGAAGTCGACGCCAGACCCAGGCAGCGAGGCGAGTATGGACGAGGCCCCAGGGGGCGACTGCACCAGGGAGTCTGGCCAGGAGTAACGTCGTGGACGCCGCACGGAGGACCGCGTATTGCGCGGGAGGGCGGGCCGGGCAGGTGGGAACTGACATCACCAGGCCGGCGGGAGAGGCTGGTGGGGATACGCGAAGCGTCAGAAACTCTGGTTGCTGCTCTGCGCCAAAGATACGGAAAAATAGGGATTAGGGATGAAGGCTTGCCAAGATCCGGAACCGGATCCAGATCTTCGAAGTAGTCCTCAACGGTTGTCCACATATGCAGGGGGAATACAATCAAAATCTGTAGTAGGGACGCGCTGCAAGGACGCAAGACCCTTAGACGCTCCTTGGACGACCCAGTTGAAGCTTTTCTAGCGGCGCACTGCCGGAAAAAACTAAAGACGCAAGGGTTCCCTCGGGAAGGTTACCCGTCCTTAGGATGGATTTCAACTGTACATGCTCCAATGACTTGGCCGGTTTTTTGGCCCAAGTTTTGGCCACATCGGCGCTTCCAGAAGGCAGGGGGCAGGGGGCGGCGGTGGTTTGCCGGAAGCGTCTTCGATATCATTCGGCAGGCCCGCAGCAAAACGGAGACGAGGATGACGGCCGATGGGGAGGATAAGTGGGAAGAGCAAAAGAAATATGCTGTCCTCCGCCTTCGCCCCCTCCTCCTCATCATGTTCCGCATCATCGTCGCGCTCGTCGTCCAAATCATCAGGACGACGGAGACGAGATGGACGAGGAGCGGAAGGAGGATAACGAAAGATGAGGAGGAAAAGGAGGACAAGCCAGGTGCGCTCGCGCTAGATCTGACATCCCACTCCTCCAACCCATCCTTCCCGCTGCGCTGATTTTCTCTCTATCCGCGGACGCGTGTCGAAGCACCTGGAACTCCCGGAAAAGACTATGCGTGTTATGTGCGGTCGGAAAACACTACTTGCAGAGATGGGAGCAGAGGAAGGAGAAGGAGGAGGCGGAGGAGGAGGAGGAAAAGGAGGTGGAGGTGGCGGATGAGCAGGAGGATGAGCAGGACGAAAAAAAGCAGGAAGGAGGAGCACGACGACGAACAGCAGCAGCAGGAACTGGAGTGGAAGGAGCTGGAAGAGCGGGAGGACAAGGGGGAAGCGGAGGAGGGGAAAGGACAGGGGCGGCAACGATGAAGGATGCGGATCCAGAAAAAGTGGCGCGCGCTGAGGCGGGAGCGCCGTTCTGAACGAAGGGAGCAACGCACTGATCCGAATATGAGGCCAACGCTGCAGCAACAACACCATTTTGAGACACCGCAAACGCCCTTTTGGGAAAAACGCAGCAACGACCAAATATCGGCATAGCGAGTTCAGAAATCATTATCGGAAAGGGGCGGGCCACTCCCTGGCCATCTTCGAAGAGAGCAGAGTACTAATCAGTTTGAACAACTGTTCAGGATGAGGAGGAGGAGGAGGAGGAGGATGGGAAAGAGCAGTGGGAAAAGGACAAGGAGTAACAATGCTGGAGCATAAACACGATAACGAGCAGAAACATGACGGACATCAGGAGAATAAGAACAAGGGCGCAACAGAAGAATGCGAAACCGGAGGAGAAGTGCAGGAGTGGCTCGCGAGGGGGATGCGCCTTTCTGCACTGCTTCGACTTGCACTTCCAAATGCCGCCAGCAACGCGCTTGACGTTCTCCTTACCGCAGAAGTTGCACATGTACCTCCCCAGCAACTGGCAGCTCCCTCAAACAACATGTTATGCGTGTTTCTCTTATCAGTGCTTGCACTGAATGCTTCTGATTTGTGTTCCAAGCAACTGGCCGTGAAAGAAAGAATACGGCAGCAATTATTCACCGTGGACTTCCTGTTGTGGGGGCTCCAACCGTGTTGCCCTGGACGACGGGCCGTGCCATTCGCGCCATGGGCTTCCCGTCGACGGGGATCCACATGCACGGGGTCCCGCACGCATGAGGTGCCGCGCATCGTTTGTATAACTATTTCCTGCTGTTGCCGACAGGGGGGTGCAGTCACCACCACGCCGATGTGGCGGGGTCGGACCGTTGTCATAATTACACATGCGCAAGGTTCCATTGACTCTTGGCGCCGCGGCCGTGCACGCGTCGACACGGCGGAGCCAGAGTCGAGCTACCGTAGATGGACAAAGAAGTGGAACCCTTGACACCACGCCCCCCCCTCCCCCCAATTTCAGTTGGCCTCTAGCATTTGGCAGCACAGGCGTGAGAGGACAAAAAAAAGTGGAACCCCCAGGGCCTCCGAGAGGCCGAACCCAACTTTGAAATTTGGGGGGGGGGGGGGGCGAATGCGGGGCCGAAGACGAAGGGGTTCCATTTTTTTGTCCCCTTACCGTAGAGCGGGAATCTGAAAAACGCTTTCACACCGTCAAAAAGCAGCCCCGGCGACCTGCGGTGGACCCATCAAAAAAGGACCCCCGCTGCACTAGTGAGATATCTGAATCGCCGAATCCCAGATCCCAGCTCCCCGTACCTGCGGTCGCCAGCTCTCGGTTGCCGGGCGCAGCAGCCCGCGGAGCCTGGCCCCTGGCTCCCTTTTCCCAGGCTCGCGCGTCCCGCCCGGCGCGGTTCCCGAAGTCAGGGCCCTTGGTCCCCAGGCCGCCCCTGCAGCGTTCCCAGCTCCCGGTGCACGGTGCCATCGTGGAGCGTGTTGGGATCGCTTCGACGTCACGCGGTGGTCATGGGTCATACCGGAATCGCGGGGCACTCTCGGGCTCATCAACATGCCACGGGGTTGCCCTCGGGCCATCATGGGGCCATACCATCGCGCGGCTACAAGGGTCCACGCGGGGTCTAGGCATCATATTGGGCCGGGGCGCCCTGCCACGGCGTCGCGTTGGCATCATGCTGGAACCATTGGACATTCCTATCTCTCTCTCTCTCTCTCTCCTTCTCCCTCTCTCTCGTATATCAACTTATCCAAAGTTTCTCTCTTTGCTTATTTATCTCTCTCTCTCTCACTCTCTTTCTCTCTCTCCTTCTATGTATATATATATGTGTGAATATCACTATTTTGTTGCTTATCTCACTCTCTTTCTCTCTCTCTCTCTCTGTCGCTCTCTCTCTCTCTTTCTCTATATAACTATCTATGTTGCGTTGTTTTGTTTCTCTCTCTCTATATAATTATCTTGTTTTCTCTACATGTATCCTTCTCTCTCTCTCTCGCTTTATTTATCGCTGCGCTTTCTCTCTCTCTCTCGCTCCTCTCTCTCTCTCTCTCTCCCTCTCCCTCTCTATCTCTCTCACCATATATATATATATATATATATATATATATATATGAAAAAGCGCGCCCGTCGCGCCCGGACTAAGAAAAGGGGGGGCCCAGCTTCAAACTACCGCCCCCTCCTTCCAAAAGAAGAGGAAGCTTCCGAAACTACCCCCCCCTCTCCCTTTCGTAAGGCTTTCTAAGCTGGGGGTGTTCTGGCTCAAGGGGGGTGGGGGCTTCGAAGCTACCCCCCCCTCCCCCCCTTTTTTGGAGCAGAAGGTGAGCCCGGGCTTACCTTTCAAAGGGGGGGGGCTTCGGAAGCTACTCCAGATCTCGTAATAAAGAGGGAGGGGGTCTGGACCCTCCAAGACAAGTCATTTCAGACCTCCCCCGTGGGAGAACCCTCCAAAACATCGTCCCCAGACCCCCCAGGCCCTCCAAGATAGCCTGGAAGAGACCCGGAAAAGACCCCCCCCCGAAATGAGACCCCCCTCCCTTTATTACGAAATCTGGAGTACCTCCCGTCCTCTTTCCTTTTTTGGTTTGGACACAGGGGGGGCGGCTTCAAGATATCCCCCCCCCTGTGCAAAGGTGAGGGGGGGTCCGAAGCTACCTCCCCCCCCTCCCTTCCGGGGCTCTGGCAAAATAGCGGAATCCCTGACGACAGGTGCGCACCGCAGCGCTAGAGAACGAATTTGAGAATAACGTCGACCCCTGGTTCGGTTTCTCATTTTCTTGTTTTCTCGGCCCCTGGTTCGTAGTCTCGTTTTCTCGGGCCCTGCTTCGTTTTCTTGTGTTATCGTTTTCTTGTTTTCCTTGTTTTCTCGTGTTTTCGGCTCCTGGGTCGCGGTCTCGTTTTCTCTGATCCTGGTTCGCGTTCTCGTTTTGCTCGTTTTCTCGGCGCCTGGGTCTTGGTCCAGTTTTCTCGGACCCTGCTTCGTTTTCTCGTTTTCTCGGCCCCTGGGTCGTGGTTTTGCTTTCTCGGACGCTGGTTCGTATTCTCGTTTTCTCTGGCCCTGGTTCGTGTTCTCGTTTCTTGTTTTCTCGGCGCCTGGATCGTGGTCCAGTTTTCTCGGACCCTGCTTCGTTTTCTCGTTTTCTCTACCCCTGGGTCGTGGTTTTGTTTTCTCGGACGCTGGTTAGTAGATTCGTTTTCTCGTTGTCTCGGCCCCCGGGTGGTGGTCGTGTATGATCTGACCCTGCTTCGTTTTCTCGTTTCTTCATTCTCTCGGCTCCTGGGTCGTGGTCTCGCTTTCTCGAACCAAGCGTTTTCTGGTGATCTCGGCCCCTGGGTCGTGGTTTCCTCGGACCCTGGTTCGTTTTCTCCTTTTCTCGTTTTTTCGGCCCCTGGGTCGTGGGTCGTTTTCGCGTTTCCTCATTTCCTCGGCTCTTGGGTCGTGGTCTCGCTTTCTCGGGGCCTGGTTCGTTCTCTCGTTTTTTTGTTTTCTAGGCTCCTGGGTCGTGGTTTCGTTCTCTCTGTCCCGGCTCGTTTTTTCGTGTCCTTGTGTTCTCGGCCCCTGGTTCGTAGTCTCGTTTTCTCGGGCCCTGATTTCGTTTATCGTGTTCTCGTTTTCTCGGCCCCTGGGTCGTGGTCGTGTTTTCTCGGGCCCTGGTTCGTTTTCGCGTTTTCTGTGCTCTTGGGTCGTGGTCTCGTTTGCTCGGTCTGGTTTTTCGTTTTCTCGTGTTCTCGGCCCCTGCCTGGGTCGTGGTCTCGTTTTCTCGGACCCTGGTTCGTTGGTTTGTTTTCTCGCTTTCTCTGCTTTTGTTTGTTGTGTCTTGTTTTTTCGGGCCCTCGTTCGTGATCTCGTTTTCTTGTTTTCTCGGCCCATGGGTCGTGGTGCCAATTTTCTTCGGACCCTTGACAAATTCCTTGTTTTCTCGTGCTCTCGGCCCCTGGGTCGTGGTCTCGTTTTCTCTGACCCTGGTTCGTTGTTTGTTTTCTCGGACCCTGGGTCGTGGTCTCCTTTTCTCTGACCCTGGTTCGGTTTCTCGTGTTCTCCGTATCTCGGCCCCTGGATTGTGGTTTTGTTTTCTCTGACCCTGGTTTGTTTTCTCGTCTTCTCGTTTTCTCGGCCCCTGGGTCGTGGTCTCGTTCTCTCGGGCCCCAGTTCGTTGTCTCGTTTTCTCTTTGTCTCGGCCCTTGGGTTGTTGTCTCGTTTTCTCGGCCCCTGGTCCGTTGTCTTGTTTTCTTGTGTTGTCGCCCCCTGGGTCGTGGTCTTGTTTCTTTGATCCTGTTTCGGTGTCTTGTTTTCTTGTTTTATCGTCCCCTGGGTCGTGTTTTTTTTGTTCTCGGACCCTGGTTAGTTGTCTCGTTTTCTTGTTTTCTCGGCCCCTGGTTCGGAACCTGGTTTGTTTATCGTTTTCGCATGTCTGCCCCTTGGTCGTGGTCTCGTTTTCTCGGGCCCCGTTTGGTTTTCTCGTTTTCTTGTTTTTTTCTCGGCTCCTGGGTCGTGGTCTTCATTTTTTTGACCCTGGTTCGTTTTCTCGATTTTTCGGCCCCTGGGTCGTGGTTTGGTTTTCTCGGGCCATGGTTCGTTTTCTTGTTTTCTCCTTGTCTCTGCCCCTGGGTCGTGGTCTCGTTTTTCTGACCCTGGTTCGTTTTCTCGATTTCTCAGCCCGTGGGTCGTGGTCTCGTTTTCTCTGGGTCTGGTTCGTGTTCTCGTTTCTTGTTTTCTCGGCGCCTGGGTCGTGGTCCAGTTTTCTCGGACCCTGGTTCGTTTTCTCGTTGTCTCCTTTTCTCGGCCCCTGGGTCGCGGTTTCGTTTTCTCGGACGCTGGTTTGTTTTCTCGTTGCCTCGTTTTTTCTCGGCTCCTGGGTCGCGGTCTCGTTTCTCTGATCCCAGTTAGCGTTCTCGTTTTCTCGTTTTCTCGGCGCCTGGGTCATGGTCCAGTTTTCTCGGACCCTGCTTCATTTTCTCGATTTCTCTACCCCTGGGTCGTGGTTTTGCTTTCTCGGACGCTGGTTAGTAGATTCGTTTTCTCGTTGTCTCGGCCCCCGGGTGGTGGTCGTGTATGATCTGACCCTGCTTCGTTTTCTCGTTTCTTCATTTTCTCGGCTCCTGGGTCGTGGTCTCGCTTTCTCGAACCAAGCGTTTTCTGGTGATCTCGGCCCCTGGGTCGTGGTTTCCTCGGACCCTGGTTCGTTTTCTCCTTTTCTCGTTTTTTCGGCCCCTGGGTCGTGGGTCGTTTTCGCGTTTCCTCATTTCCTCGGCTCTTGGGTCGTGGTCTCGTTTTCTCGTGGCCTGGTTCGTGTTCTCGTTTTTTTGTGTTCTAGACCGCTAGGTCGTGGTTTCGTTCTCTCTGTTCCGGCTCGTTTTTTCGTGTCCTTGCTTTCTCGGCCCCTGGTTCGTAGTCTCGTTTTCTCGGGCTTTGATTCCGTGTATCGTTTTCTCGTTTTCTCGGCCCCTGGGTCGTGGTCGTGTTTTCTCGGGCCCTGGTTCATTTTCGCGTTTTCTGTGCTCTTGGGTCGTGGTCCCGTTTGCTCTGACTTTGGTTTGGCTTCTCGTTTTCTCGTGTTCTCGGCCCCTGGGTCGTGGTCTCGTTTTCTCGGACCCTGGTTCGTTGTTTTGTTTTCTCGTTTTTTCGTTTTTTTTTTGTGTGTTTTTTTTCGGGCCCTGGTTCGTGATCTCGTTTTCTTGTTTTCTCGGCCCTGGGTCGTGGTGCCAATTTTCATCGGATCCTTGTTAATTTCTTGTTTTTTGTGTTCTCGGCCCCTAGGTCGTGGTCTCGTTTTCTCTAGCCCAGGTTCGTTTCTTGTTTTCTCGGCCCCTGAGTCGTGGTCTCCTTTTCTCTGACCCTGGTTCGGTTTTTCGTGTTTTCCGTATCTCGGCCCCTGGATTGTGGTTATGTTTTTTTTGACCCTGGTTTGTTTTCTCGTCTTCTCGTTTTCTCGGCCCCTGGGTCGTGGTCTCATTTTCTCGGGCCCCAGTTCGTTCTCTCATTTTCTCTTTGTCTCGGCCCCTGGGTTGTTGTCTCGTTTTCTCAGCCCCTGGTCCGTTCTCTACCCTGGCTCGTTTTTTGGGACCCTAGTTCGTTATCTAGTTTTCCCGGCCCCTGGGCCGTGGTCTCGTTTTCTCGGACCCTGCTTCGTTTCCTCGTTTTCTCAGCCCCTGGGTCGTGGTCTCGTTTTCTCTGACCCTGGGTCGTCGTCGTCGTCGTCGGTCGCGCGTCGTCCGTCGTCCGTCGTCCGCCACTGTCTTCGTATGACCTCGTCCTCGTCGTGACGACCACGACGAGGTCATGCGAAGACGACGACAACGACGGCGACGGCGGCGACAACAACGACGAGGACGACGACGGCGTCGTACGAAGACGTCGGGCGACAGCGACGGCAACGACGACGGTGGCGGGGGAGGATCGTCCGGCAGGGGGAGTTCAAGGGAGGGGGCGGGTAAGCCTTCCCGGAGGGGGGGGGGTGTCAAGAAGGGGGGGGGGCAGCTTCCAACCGCCGAAAAAGGGGGAGGGGGGGTATCTTCCAGGGGCAGGCGAAACAGGGGGAGGGCGTAGCTTCCCAGCAGGGGGGGTTCAAGGGAGGGGGCGGGGTGTAGCTAAGGGGGGCCCCCCCCTTTGCTCCGTCATTGCGGGCGCGTTCTATCATGTATATATATATATATATATATATATATATATATATACACGTGCAGAACCGTACGTGCCCATACATGATGACATGTATTGGTACGTGTGTTCATGTACGTGCATGCGTTTGTGTGATTGCCCATGTATATATACCAAATTTCATATACGTACATGCATGCGTATATATATATACATGTACATGCATGCATGCATGCATGCATGCATGCATACATACACATACATACATACATACATGCATGCATGCATACATACAAACAATTATACACGCACTAAAACCACGCGCGCTTCGCGCGCGAGTAATTATCGCGCTGACTTTTTCCATCTCAGGCGCGATCTCGAACGACGACGACGACGACAGTAGATGTCGACAAAGACGACGACGCCGACGAGGACGACGTCTGACGACGACGACGCAGACAATGACGACGGCGGCCGACGGCGACAACGGCGACCCGCTTCGCGAGCGGGAACAGCTCCGCGAGCGCGCGAGGGGGAAAAAGCGCGCGGGAGCTCTTTCTTTCAACGAGCTGCCAACGTTAGCGCAGCTGTCAACGAGGAGGGGAACGAGGAGGTATTCGAGAGAATGAGGGGTGCAGTTTCCGGGGGCGCGGAGCTCAACTAAGCACTCCGGTTCGGTTCAATGACGCGTCTCGCACTCAGTTCCGCAATGGCGCATTGCTGGAATATCACCCTGGTCGAATGTTGTTGTCGACGCGCGCCAGCAACAAAGCGAGCAATTCGCACGCGGAACGTACGAAGATTAGCCTTGCATTCCGATAATTATCAGACACAACATCGCATTGCGATCACCGTTCGGCCCCTTGCATTTGCAACTTGCCTTTGCCGGTTCAAGAGCGGGCTGGGCGCGCGCCGAAACTTGCTGCAGAAACGAAGCATCATCTTCCCTGGAGTCGCCAACGGCCTTCGACTGGAGGAGACCTACGCCCTCGGCCTCTTCTATGCTGGCACAAGCAGCCTGGCTGCCTCCACGCGGCGCCGGGCGAACAGCGAACGTGAACATCATGCGCAGGACACGGGGCGCCATGGCGCGGTGCGGGAACTCTGGGCAAGAATGCCGTCAGCGGATCCGACGCGCAATCGGCCCAAAATTTGGCCCAAACCTTACGCCAGAATGCCTTGAACCAGCATGACTACGGGGCGCCTTTTGGAAGCTGGTTGGGGGCCTGGTGGGCCTCCAAACGTCTCTTGGAGACTCCAGGGGGGCACGATAGAGGAAAATGATAGTGAGAGGAAAATGATAGTGGGAGATTCCGAAGACGAGGAAATGGAGGAATCGT